GCGGATCCTTTGGGATGAGGAGCAAAACGTTGGGATGGGAGCCCTCCTGCTGGCAGCCCGGCAAGCCCTGATCCGGGCTGGAAGGTGGTCCCCGCGCTTGCTGCGTTGGGAGCTCTCTAATTATCTGGGAGAGAGAGAAGTGCCGCTAATTACATGTAATGCACGATACGCTGCGGTGGGTTTAATAGTCCGATATGATCAGCCTCCTTGGGGCGTTTTTTTTTTTTTCTTTGTGTGAACGTTTTGGGCAAAACCAGCAAAGAAAAGGGAGCAGGGCTGGATCTCAGCCTGGGAAAACCCTCCTTGCTGGGGATGGAGCCAGGCTGGAGCAGGTCGGGGGTATCTCCCCTAGCCCTGGGAGGCCCCCTGGTTATTTTAGCAGCGTGCTGCCCTCACTGGCCATGCTGAGTCAGGGAGGAATGGGATGAAAAATGTTTCTTCCCCTCCCCAGCCACCTTTGGGGCTTCTTCTCCAAAAGAAGAAGCACAGCTGTGCATGCCTGTTGGAAAAATGCACCGTTTCTAGAATTTGGGTCACTTAGCACCCTAGTGAGCACTGAAAAATAAATATATATGTATTTATATAGGTTCCCAAACTGGGTCTTATCCATGGTCGCACATTTGTTGTCCTTATTCCTGAAATCAATGGCATTCACCCAAGCAGATCTCCTGGAGTTCAAGTAAGAAACAGTCTGTAGTGACGTAGGCAGAGGACCTGGCGCTGGCACGGAGCTCCTTGCACGTTAAATCTATCCTTTTTAACCGAGAGCTTGTGACCTCCTTTGGCAGCTCTGTGCCACGCGCAGCCTCGCCGACCAGGACACTTTCAGCAAGGTTGGATTTTAGCCTCAAAATTAAGAAAGGGCGTTTTCCCCACGGCATCTTCCCTGCTTGACGGCATTGGTGGCGTCGGCGGTGTCGGTGAACGGAGATGCCCGGGGCTGCATCCCCCAGTGCCACCCATGTGCCCGACTTTGCTGGAATCCCCTTGTCTGGAGCCAGGGAGGACCACGGTGGCCAGAGGTGTTTTCACCTGGGCCACCTGGGTTGTCCCCTCGGCCGCGGGACAGCGACGTTCCAGCAACACGGAGGCGACGATCTGGATTTTTGCTCCATTGCCAAAGCCTGGGATTCTGCTCCCAGAGCTGGTCACAGACGCGCTCCGGGGAAGCTATTGAATATTCAAGCGGTAATTGCTGCTCTTGTTTCCTTAAAGCAAAGGAGGAAGCGACACCAGGGTCCAATTTTCTCCTAATGACTGATTTCATTAAGCAGTGCTCAGGGCAATGTAGGCTTATTTATTTATTTATTTATTAATTATTTATTTATTAGGGTGATCCTCATCTCTGCTTTATGGCTGGGCGATGAAAGCAGGGAGGCCCTTCTTCGCCCTCCTCTCCTCCTGCTCTCCTCTTGCTTAGCCTTTTCCTGCAGCCCTTCTCTGCTGTGGTCACCTGCTCCGCTTAAATCCGCTGGCAAATGTCTCGTCGCTGCCTGGGACGGAGCCAAGGATGTTTTCCGACTGCCTCGCTCCTCCCGGGCTCTGCCCTCTCTTACCTCCCAGGGATCCGTCCTCCTGCCAGCATTAACCTCGTTGCTCTGCTCTTTGGGGTGCTTGCACAAGCGGAAAACTAGCAGGGAACCAGGAGCAGGGGACACACATGGTCTCATGGAAAATTCAGACTTGCAGTTTATACGAGCTGACCTTGCAGGTGTCTCTGCCGTTCTCCGCTTCGAGCTGCGGGCAAATACACAGCAAGAACGTGTTGTTTAAGTGTCACCAGGGCATTATCAGGCTTGGGGTGCTCCTGACTTCCAGGCTGGTCCTGGAGCATCTCCTGCCGGATGCAGAAGTGGACAGGGAAGCGGCTTTGCAGACCTTTGTAGCTCTGCTCCTCTGCTTCTATTTCCCCCCTTGCGGGATGATGCAGGAGGAGCTTGCGCCAAAATTTAGCCCAGGCTTCTTGGAAGTGAGCAGTGTCCTGCGGGTGTTGTGTTACCTGCCACCAGTGCCTGTTATTGGGGCACAATTTCCACATCTAGTTGCTTGAATGATTTGTTAGCTCGGAGAAGGCAGATTTCCCTCATCTCCTCCAGCTTTATTTCCTATGTAATTAGTCACATTCTACCCTGATAGTTCCCAAAGCTCATCTGGGTCCTTCTGGGGTGGAAAACCAGGCATGGATGCGGGATGGAGCCGGCCGACAACTGAAACAAATTCAGCTCTTCCCTGGGAGCACACATGGTGCTAGTACCCTGCAAAAAATCAGTGTCACTCGTCATCCGCTGCCATCTGTCAGACGAGTTCTTGGGCAAAACACGGGTTTTTAATCTGCATTCCCAATAGTCATGAAAGGATCGAGCTGGGATAAATCTCCACGTGCCTAAGGGAGAGAAGTTGCTTAATTCCCTGTGAAATAAAGGTAGTCCTTTATAAATTCCTGCAGGTGCACAGCTGATGTGGGTTAGTGGAGATGACCTTGATTGGACTCAGTGTGAGAACTCGTTCACCTGCCTCTCTGGCGGTCACTGGCCTCTGGCCTCATCTCTGCTGTCCTGGCTGAGCTCCTTGCAGCACATTCCCGCTCTTGTTC